CATAGGACAGCTAGTTGCATTCCATCTCTCTTATTATTACTGTTTGAATTAGCCCATATATGTAGGGCTTCGGCTATTAGTCGTTCTTTGTAAGAATCAAAGCCTTTTTGAATGATTATTGAGCCATTGAAATCAACTGTATGAACCGATTCAGTCGAGTGTAATGCTATCTCTGATTTGTTCTCAAGCTTTCTTACATCATATGAGGATTTAAGAATGTGCCAGGTGAAACGCTGGATTTACTTCAAATTCTTTCGCTGAGGTTTTACAAATACATTCTTCCTCTTTAAAGAGTCCATTAATTTCATTATAAATTATGGACAAAATATTTTGTAATTTGGAAGTATTTATAAATGTTAAGTTACTTAAATAGTTTATTACAACGTTACCACATAGATGATTAGATAATATTTCAATCTTTCCATATGAATAAATCTTATTTGCACAAGTAAATTTCACTTTTACAACTGTGAGAATATATACATAATATTCTGAAACTAGTTTATAAATCGTTTTCAACTAAGCAAACTACTTATAAGTAGTTCAAAATATTGCAGAGAATTTTCAGATCCGTTTTACCACTAGGTTATCTTGGTCTATGAATAAATTTCAGTGTAAGAATATAACGAAATAAGTTTATACAAACTTTTTATACATATTGTAAATAGATGAGGCACGTTTTGGTTTACACTGAAGTGAAGTATTCTCGTCAGACAACATTTTTCTTGCTAATAATGAATAATCAATTCAAGTCATTACAAATGAAAGCATAAGTAATAACTATCAAATAGATCTGTGGCTTAAAGAACATTTTAATTTTAAGCTTTATATGATAAATTTTCATAGATCATATTCACTGATGTACTACTTAGTTTGGTTTCCACTTTGAAGTGAATACAGCAAATGTCAAGTATCTAACTCTATTGATTGAGATCATGAATCGATGAGTGTTAGACCACCATTAATATCACACATCGATTCATGATCTCAATCAAAAATTTAACAATCTCCACAACTCTGCAATCACATTTAAACTTAATTATCTTTTATGTCAAAGTTAGGACCTGTGTTTGAATCTCGCGAGTCGGTATCGTGGATGCACATTGCTGAGGAGCCTCACAATAGAATGAGACAGCCGTTCAATTCTTCCAAATTTTCTATAGTGGTCTAGCTTCAATTGACTAATGATCTCAACTATAATATTCACAAAACTCCTTCTGAAAGTATTTAATTACTATGCATCCTGGCACTTTATCTAACAATCATATGGTAACATTTAGGTGAGCGATATTAATCACGTCTAAGGATAATAATTAATAATAATATCATGTACTGTTTGTCAATCGATTAAGATGCACTGTAACTATAACAGCTATTATAGAACCAATATTGCCTAGTTTCTGTATATCCATCATTTTGAATTGACTGAACAAACGTACCAAGATGGGTTTTCCACTGCAAATCACAACTGTATACAACTACATTATTATTACAAGGTAATACACAAATACTGGCTTAAAACTGACTTTTACCTATGAAATGAATTATATCAATGTAGCTTCACTGTATATTTAGTTAGTTTTTTAATTGAATGTTAGTTTGACAAATAGTGTTTTATCCATATGACAAGTTAACAATATCGTAAACCATAAATGAGCTTATTTACATGAGGAAACTGATAAATTAGAAAAACATAATCTAAATAATATGCTTCATAGTAAGCCAAGAAAGAAATTTGGTAGATCTTTATTCAGAATGTTGGAGTAGTAAACTTATTGAAACAGTTTATCAACAGAAGGGATTTTGTGGATATTATAATAATTTTAATAGTTGAGACCACGAGTTAATTGATGCTAGATCATCATGAAAAACCTGGAAGCACCGGACGGTGCACTGCTGAGGAGTCCCACAATAGGACGAAACGGCCGTCCAATGCTTTTAGGTTTTCTATAGTGGTCGAGCTTCATTTGACTCATGATCTCAACTATTAAAATTTTATCAAAAGACAAAGTTTCCTAACATCAAGACGAATTGTAGAAACTTCACTTCAAAAGCAATAATACAAACGTTTCTATGAGTTTAAAAATGAGCGTAAAATTACAATTATTTTTAGAAACAAAATAATGTTAATAATGGATATAGGTTTGTCTTCAAACACACACCCAGACAAATAAAAACAGAATACTCTTACATAATACCACACAAATTAAAGCTAATTTTATTTACCTTCTAAACTCAATATGAAATTAGTTTCAGGATTATTTTTATATTAATTTAATTCAGCCATAAAACTCTGAATTTTTTTTACTTTCCTATATCACGAAATTTCATCAGCTTGCATGATAATGTGGATAAGAATAGATGATGTGAGCATTTAAACTTAACATTATGAAATACAACTCATTTCGGAAGTATACTCAGGTGGAACTGATGTAATATCATTAGCATTCAATTGTTATGTGATTTGATGTTCAGCAAAATGCCGCCAGTATTTGAGTTAATTATTCATTCGTAACTGGATAAAATTTTCTGCATAGAATGCATATAGTTCGTTGAAACTCATTCATCCGAAGTGGCAGATTGTGTAAACTTTTAGAATTTATTGTATAATTAATGTTCTGTGACTGAAATTAGAAGTCATGGTCCGCTAGGAAAAATTTCATTGAAGGCAATTGGACAATGACATGATGCGCCTAATATTTATTAATTTATTTTATACTACTTACAAGTACCTAAACTCGCATTTTAAAACTTTTGATGTCATAGCGTCATTAATTGCGATATACATACTAAAATAACCAAAAAGGTATATAAAATTCTATCACGAAGTGTTTGATATATTTTGAAATGCAGTTAGCATGTATAATGGAAGTGTATTTTTGCTGCAAGTTTGAATTCTTCAGATGTTACCTAACGTTAAATTAGTAATACATACACAGTACTGTGTGAAATGTCGAATGAGTAACAGTTACATGGATTTAAATAGCAGCTTGATGTTGGCTAACTAAAATAAATAAGACTTTCTTAGAACGAAATTTAGACACAGTTATACTGATACTATTAATCATCTTAGTAAAACCTTGTTTAGACAACACTCAACTACACTTAAATCAAACAGGTATCAATGATTCATTGACCCTTATAATTAATACGCAAAAACATGAATACAAATAAAATCACGATACAAGTAAACATTGAGGATGTTTAGATTGTATTTCTTTTCAAATGAGTTCTTTCGGTTTGAAACATCAATAACTAACGTTTCCGCATTGATAATAACCTACTTCTTCTTTGCCAAAACAATGGAAAAATATCAACGATAAAACCGATTATTTCATGAGCATAACTTTATGGTATGAAAGTTTAAATTGTAAATTAGCCATTTTTATGAAAAGTGTAACCTGGCCCATGCACATCTTCTCAAGTTTCCACAGAAAATTAACACAGTGAGGTATAATTATAAATCTAAATCCTAGATAAGTAGAAGTAATAAAAGTATCAACAGGGGTAGGACAGATGAGGGCTTAGAAAAGAATAATATAGAAGTATAATCTAAGAATATCTTTAATTCTTAAAAGTGATGTCTCACATCTATAAATCTAATGAGAGAGAGCTAGTGCATGGTAAACTTTTACTTTGGTAGCCAAACAGACATCACACCTACTTTACGAATGATGAATGTTAACAAAAAAAAGCTGAGATATTTGGATCGGTTCCCATATTTCATCATACATCAATTCTCCAGGGATGATAAGACTATCATGGGAAGGTAAGTGGTCGGTGTGCACACATACTTTACTTCCTGTCATTAATTCGCGCATTTAAGCAGCTTAGATGTAAGGCAACATTTTGCAAATAAATGAAAATAAAATGGATTCCAAACATGCTTGTATTGATTCACATGATGATCAGAAGACTGTGTTTGGATTATATATATATATATATATATATAAAGTTAAATGGACCAAATCACATCATAGATTACATTATTAATGTATTCACTAATACATTATAAGACAGCTTCTATTAGTTCTAAATAGGTTATAACTTTGCATCCAATAACACAGACATGATACATCAATTTGATTGTACAAATAAAATAAATCTCTTTCAGGTATGAATAATAAATCACAATGAATCAGTTTTCTTTGTTTGTTATGATATTTTACACTTATTAAGTTAATAGATAGATAGTATACAATAAATAATAGATCTATCTAGGCGAGACTATAATTTATGAACCAACCAATCAGATTTAAGATAACAAGTCTCGGAATTTTGGTGCGAAATTCATTCGTTTATTTGTCTAAATAGTGTTTTGGCAATTTATCTAACGTCATTTTGTGATGTAAACCATAAATCTAAATCCTAACCCTTACCATCAACTGTAAATCATAATCCTTATTCTTTACACTACTTTATAACTTTCACTTAGCTGCAGTAATTAGGTGTACATTTTCAAGGTCACTTTAGTTTCACCTCTATCTATGATGAAGTTGACTCAATTATAATTATTAATCCATCTGAATCAAATGAACATAATGATGAATGTACTAAGATTTCAGTGTGAAATACATTTCATCTGTTCATTTTTTTTTATATTCTTCTTTACTTCAAGTCGTTAAGGTTAATATGAGAATGGGGTTTTGTGGATATTGTATTTGAATTCATGAGTCGATTAAAGCTATACTATCATGGATAACCTAGAAGTACTGAACAACCATTTCGTTCTAGTAAGGGATAGGATTGTGGATGTGCTTTTCTGAGAAGTCCCATATTAGGACCAAAACGGCCGTCCAATACTTCCAGGTTATCCATAATGGTCTAGCTTTAATCAACTCATGAATTCAATTATTTAACATTTGTATTGAAACTAAATGCATTGAAAACTTGACGTTATCTTTTTTTGAAATTTTTTTTTCTTTTAACTTTGACTCTAACCTTTCTTTTACTTTTTTTTTCTTTCATCATTGTCATTTATCAACATTAACATTGTGAAGAATATGAACCTAAAGCTGAATTATGTGGAAATGGTAATATATGTCTTTATGGAGGAAAATGTTATGATCCATTAGATCATTATTATCGATCAAAAATGATAATGAAAAAATTTTTACCATTATATTCCAATTGTATTTGTGAACATATTAATTGTTTAAATGAATGGCCTGATCCAGTGTGTGCAGATGATGGTGAAACTTATACAAATCAATGTTTTTTAAAACGTGCAATTTGTGAAACTCAATCATTAAAACGTATAATTTATCGAGGCAATTGTGGTAAGAATGATCTTTTTTCTCTCCCTATTTCTCTTTACTTTATAAAGAATTGATCAATAAATATATTTCTATATGTTAATTGAATGTCATAGATAAGATCTGTGATGCGTCGTAGATAATCTAGTGCTGTGTACCATTCATGGATGAGACAGTAGACTAAAACTCCTTGATTTCCCATAATTTTCTAGCTAAGATTAATTCATTATTCAAAGCCAAACTCTATAATTCCCATAATAGAAAAGTAATATTCGTTACACGTTGCATAATATTAAACGATAAATTATTTGGATAATTAACATTGAGATATACAAGTCGTAAAGAAGAGGGTCAGATAGAATAAACAATATCAAGAAAAGTATAATAAACGGTTATTTCAAAGTAAGAACTTATCATATTGGGTTAGATCGCTGTCATTATGTATATGTAGAAGGGACACTGTTAAATCTGACTAGAGTGTATTGTAATCCCACTAAATAATTATATAGCAAAAGAATATGCAGTTATGTGTATATCTTGTGTGAAATGTCTCAGTTTCATGTTCTGTCACTAGCACAGCACCTTTAAACTTACCAATCGATAATTTAACAAAATACTCTTATACTAAATAAGTAATAAAGTTGAACAAAATATAAATGTCCTATCGTGTCATACCAATTAACTTTAATTAGCTATTTGTAGAATAAACAAAAATACTTAAAAGATTGAACAACTAATCAGATATTCATTACGTAATATTACATTACTTTATTAGTGCATTCTATACAAAGTACTTACTTACCTACGCATGCTACTCCTAATGGAGCATAGGCCGCCGACTAGTATTCTCCAACCCACTCTGTCCGGGGCCTTCTTTTCTAGCTCCATCCAATTCTTATTCATTTTTCTAATGTTTGTCTCCATTTCTCGGCATAATGTGTTCTTTGGTCTTCCTCTTTTCCTTTGGCCTTGAGGATTCCATGTGAGGGCTTGTCTTGTGATGCAGTTGGGTGCTTTCCTCAATGTGTGTCCTATCCACTTCTAACGCTTCTCCATGATTTCTTCTTCTTCTTCTGGGATCTGGTTTTTTATCTCCCACAGTACACATTGATAATATTGTCCACATAAACAACATTAGCTTAAAAATTGTAATCATTATACTCAGAAATAGAAACGTTATACAAAAATACTCGGTTGAGCAGTAAATCTTGTTCATCACTGTTTATGGCATAAAAATATTTGATTACAGTTAATGAATTCAAGAGAAAGCGATGTTAATTTGATGCCCAGTCAAATCTTATCAGCTACAGTAATGCTAAATGTCTTGCTGTTATGGTAGGATTAGATGAATCATTCCGTTTACATTACATAGTGCAAAAAAATGTTAAAACATCTTTAGTGGTCCTATATTTGACTCCAATTATATCATATGAATGATTGTTGTCAAAATATACGCCATGACTATCCTCGTATATAATTATCGACTTAACTCGCGTTAGTAAATAACGGATTTAAAATAAGTCAAATAGGATAAAGGATTTTGAATACGTTTATTTTATGAAATCATTAATCCCGGCAGACGATCAAAGGAACGAAGCGAAATGAAATGATGCGCGGTGGAGAAGGCATGTAAGCCAACTCGACTTAATCAATTGTTAATCAATATTTATAGTTACACAAAAATAATCTACAAACATGTAACGAGTAGGATAAGACGTACTCACACATGCCCACATAAAATGTCAAGGGTGATAAGTGAATAATTAACAAGGTCATAACGTGATCCAAGAAGAATGAATAAATTGGCTCGTCCAGAAGCTAGGATAAATTATGTGGTCTTAACATAATAACCGACATTACACTTCCCTTCACTGATTTTACAAACCTTACACCATTATGTACGTGAAGAAACGTCATATTTATTCATCAGTTCTACTTACCAGTTTAATAATCATGAAATGGCTTTCAGTCGACATTTGTTTGACATTAGTTTCAACAAAGAAACGAATGACATTGTGGTGCATCCTACTGATGTCGATAGATATAAGTAGTATGTATCATTAATCGGAAGTGAAATATCTGGCAGCATAAGGTTAAGAATATCAAAGTAAAGAGAACGAGAACAAAGAATTATTAGTGTGGAAACGAAAGAATAATGAAGTCTAAGACGATTGACTGATATATGCAGAAGAAACAGTCATGTTTGAGACAATTGATTGATATTTTGCAAATAAAATATTTACTGTATGGTTCTCAGATTTCATTTAGATGTTCTATAATTTTGTGTTCAAGTACATTCGATTGTTTCCACTTGTGTTCTCGTGCACTATAACAAGTTATATCAGAATTATCGGCATTTGTTGAAAGATGTGATGATCCTACAATACCCTTTCATAATCCTTTTATGAATACTCATACAAGAAGGAATGATTGTGATATAAAATTAAAAATCATTAGGCATTATTGAAAACTTTAGTGATTTTCAACAATTCTTTGGGATCCACTTATTTTCAGTATAATATCAAAACGTTCCATGAAGAATTAGTAATGAATCAGTATTTGTACTTGTGTACAGATACAATCAAAGGATAATCTTTCAATTTATTCACTCTCTAACCTTATTGGAATTCATAAGTGATCAGATAGTTTGTCAAAAAACTTACTCTAAATGTGTTTAAAAAAATAAAAAACTTAAATTGAAAACAGTTGGCTAGTTATTTTGTATTTGACAGAATAATGTTTATACTACAATTGGTCGATCATCGGATAGTAACCGAATTCATGTTTATCTAGTCTTTCAGTGTAGATCATGTTCTACTATAGTCCAAGTGATATGACATCAAGCGAATTATGACTTGGTTACTAGGTACTTGGAAGTAGTTGGCATAGTAACGTGAGCTTAAGATTTGTGTCAGCTGGAACTCATTATCAAGAAGCACTTACAGTCCCGAAGCAAATGTTACTCCTTGTGCTATTCAAACCTTATTCACTCAGTTTGGCGGTCTGAAACTTTATCCATGAGCTATAATCATACATAAACAAAGAGTAAAAAACGTTCCATGTAAATCATAACATCATTTATAAGATTTATCACCGTTTTAGATACTAGACAAGCTTATTGAGCAGCCGTCTTGATACAGACATATAATAATGGTCAGCGCAATTCACTTGTCAAAATGTAAAAGCATTTGTACATTTATCAAAACGGTTTAGTACACAACAGAGTTATGTACTGTCTTTCATATGACACAATTCAGTAACGAATAATGAAGACAAAGAAAATCAATCTAGCTATCTTTCAGTATCTTAAAATCACCTACTAAATGGTTTTTAATGTAAAACGTTTATTTCAAAGCATGGAAAATACATTATCTAACAAGATTATCAGCTATTTCAGGTACACATTTTTCAATGTTGGGCTACCGTTTACTCATATATCAAGTTGAATTTAGGGAAGAAATTGATTAGTTAATTAAATTGAATCATGATAAAAATCCATGACTATGAATCTATGTCCTAGTATTCAAGACATCATATCGATTTGTCCCACTTACTAACATTATAGAAATTTTAGGTTAGTCATCTTAGTTCAACCGACTTTATTCATTTGTATCACATCTTCAAAAACGGGCAAAATTCCTCCTTAGAATATTTTACTTACTTATCATTTACTCTGTTAGTTATTCTTTTGTTCGTTTTCGTTTCCTAGTATATACTCATTCATTAGTCTATGTAGAATTTATGACAAGATCACTGTTTATTTCATGGATTTGATTTAGATAAACACTTTCATATTGTAAATGAACATGTTTGTATATATAACAAATGTAATAAACATATATATATATATATATTTAACCTTTGTACAGCCATTATTAATACCTACATTGTACAATATTTCAATTTCTAATCAAATAACATATAATAACATTGTGGACAAACTGTTGAACAGGGTAACAAATTTATTAAAATATAATTGTTTGTTTAGTGATTATAATTTTGAAGTCGTGGATCGTTCTAAAACAAAAACTATTGAAACATGAGATGGTAGAGATTTGTAGCTCAAGTGAATGATTTTCATGGAGTTGTGTTCTCTGAGCTGGATGGTTTGGTCGTGGAGACTTCATCATTCTTCTGAATTACATCATCAATACAAACTTCAGGTAGAAGTGAAGTGTTCGAATTTCTCAATATATGGTTCACAGCTTATCCTGTAGACCTCGATGTTAATTGATTCTTATTGACCTTAAACCTGTCATTGGTCCTAGGAACAAAAATCAAACCAATTGGAGATATAACCAAAACAAAGAAGTAAACAATGACAGGTTTAAGGCTAACAAGAACCAATCAACATTGAAGTCTACAGGATAAGCTGTGAACCATATTATTGAGAAATTCGAACACTTCACTTCTACCTGAAGTTTGTATTGATGATGTCATTCAGAAGAACGATGAAAGCTCCACGTCTAAACCATCCAGCTCAGAGAACAAAACTCCATCAAAATCATTGAAACTTGTTTTTAATTCTCGGTTGTAAAGTCGTGACTACTCATTATTACAGAGTCCCAAACCAGAATGAAATACCCATCTAGTTCTTCCAATTTCTTAACGATTGTCTAACTTAGATCATTTCATAGTTTTAGTAAAATTCAACAATCTTCACAAATCTATACTGATAGTACTTATTAATTAGCATTAAAAACTATGTTGTAATTATACATTCTGGTTAAATATAATCTGAAAAATAATGTTATAAACACATAGTATTGTCTGAATATAATCATCTTGAATAGTTTCTATTTATTGTATTCTCAATTACACATATAGCAATAAATCGTTTTATATCAATTTTATCAGTTTCAATATAACAAAGGTAGTAACTAGGGTAGAATAAATATATAGTATCAATATTTTGTCTTCAGTACTTTTTGAATCCCTACCAACCTTTTAACAAGTATAATGCACTGATATGTATCCAATTTTTTTAAAAATAACCCTAACTTCACTAATATAAAAAATATATAATCAGTTAGGGGGTTTTATTGATATTATAGTAAGTTAATAGTTCAACTCTTGAGTCAGTTAAAGATAGACCACAATGGAAAACATGGACTGGTTAAAGTTAGATATTAACATCGCTGGATGCTGACTCGGTGATCGACAGGTTAAGCGTTTGCGCACGAGAACTATAGGTCTTGGGTTCTAATCTTTCCGAGCGGGATCGTGGATTCGTATTGCTGAGGAATCCCATAATAAGACGAAACGGCCATTCAATGCTTCCAGGTTTTCCATGGAGGTCTAGCTTTAATTGACTCA